TAACTATTTTAAACGTTTGAACAAAAACTTTGTTCTTCATTTCTTTTCTTCACCATTTCGAATCAAAATCAAGAATGATTCATTTAATTTGAGTTTTGAACGTCAGCTATTTATTTGAGTAATTTTCTTCTTTTTTGACAGTGGAACAGTAATAAGTTACAAAAGTTTAAGACTGCTCTTTCCTAGGAAATTATTTCTGCTTTGCATCGGCCGGGAGTCGAAGCCAGGTTTATCGCGTGGCAGGCGACAATTCTACCACTGAACCACCGATGCTGGATTCACATTATTTTAATCGTTTGAAGAAAGTTTCGCTCTTCAATCCATTTTTTTCATGAAAACTTTGAACAAAATCATGAAAACTTTGTTACAGTCTAATTGAGGTTTTAAATTCAGCTGAATATTTTGGTAAGTTCCTCATTTTTGACAGTGGAACAGTAAAAAATTTAAAAAATTTAGGTTTGCGACTTTCCGGCAAAATTTTTTGCTTTGCTGCTCTGCATCGGCCGGGAATCGAACCCGCGTCTATCGCGTGGCAGGCGACAATTCTACCACTGAACCACCGATGCTTTATACTGCTATAATCGTTCCAGCAAAGTTTTGCTCTATCATCCAAGTTTTCAACAAAGCGTTGAATCAAAATCTTAAAAAATTTGTTTCATTTAATTGAGGTTTCGAATTCAGCTAATTATTTTAAGAGTTTTCCTCTTTTTTGACAGTGGCACAGTAAAAAATTGAAATAACGTAAAATTGCGCTTTTCTAGAACATTTTTTCTGCTTTTCTGCTTTGCATCGCTCGGGAATCGAACCATGGTCTATCGTGTGAAAAGCGTCAATGCTACAACTAAACCACCGATGCTTGATGTTTAACTGTTTTAACCGTTTGAACAAAAACTTTGCTCTTCATTTCAATTTTTCACTAAATTTTTGAATCAAAACCATGAATGATTCATTTCATTTGATTTTTGAACAGTAATAAGTTACAAAAGATTAAGACCGCTCTTTCCTAGGAAATTTTTTCTGCTATGCATCGGCCGGGAAGCGAACATGCGTCTATCGCGTGGGAGGCGACAATTCTACCACTGAACAAGCAATGCTTGATTTACACTATTTTAATCGTTTGAATAAAGTTTTGCTCTTCAATCCAGTTTTTTCTCCAAAACTTCGAACAAAAAAATGAAAAATTTGTTTCATTCTAATTGAGGTTTTGAATTCAGCTGAATAGTTCATTAGTTTCCTCTTTTTTGACAGTGGAACAGTGAAAAGTTGCAGAAATTTAAATTTGTGTTTTTCCGGCATAAATTTTCTGCTTTACTGCTTTGCATCGGACGGGAATTGAAATGGGGTCTATCGCGTGGCAGGCGACAATTCTACGACTGAACCACCGATGCTTGATATAGTGGGTTTTGATAGTTTGAACAAAGTTTTGCTCTTCAATCCAACCTTTTTATCAAAACTTTGAACAAAAACATGAAAAGTTTGTTCATTCTAATTGAGGTTTTGAATTCAGCTGAATATTTCAGAATTTTTCCTCTTTTTGACAGTGGACAGTAAAAATTACAAAAGTTTAAACTTGCGCTGCATCGGCCGGGACTCGAACACGGGTATTTTGCTTGGCAGGCGACAATCCTGCCACTGAACCACTGATGCTTGAATTAAGTTGTTCACCGTTTGAACAAAAACTTTGCCCTTCAATTCAATTTTTTAACAAAATTTTGAATCAAAATCATGAAAGATTCAATTCATTTGAGTTTTAAAATACAGCTATTTATTTGAGTAGTTTTCCTCTTTGTTGACAGTGGAACAGTAATAAGTTACAAAAGTTTAAGACTGCTCTTTCCTAGGAAATTTTTTCTGCTATGCATCGGCCGGGAAGCGAACATGCGTCTATCGCGTGGTAGGCGACACTTCTACCACTGAACCAGCGATGCTTGATTTACACTGTTGTAATCGATCCAGCAAAGTTTTGCTCATCATCCAAGTTTTTCATCAAAGCGTTGAATCAAAATCATGAAAACTTCGTTTCAATTTAATTGAGGCTTCGAATTCAGCTAACTATTTGAGTAGGCTTCCTCTTTTTTGACAGTGGCACAATAAAAAATTGAAAAAACGTAAAATTGCGCTTTTGTAGAAAATTTTTTCTGCTTTTCTGCTTTGCATCACCCGGGAATCGAACCATGGTCTATTGCGTGGAAGGCGACAATGCTACAACTGAACCACCGATGCTTGATTTTAACTGCTATAATTGTTCCAGCAAAGTTTTGCTCTATCATCCAATTATTTTCATCAAAGCTTTGAATCAAAATCATGAAAACTTTGTTTCATTTTAACTGAAGTTTCGAATTCAGCTAACTGTTTGCGTAATTTTTCCCTTTTTTTTTAGTGGAACAGTGAAATGTTACAAAAGTTTAAGTTTGCGATTTTCTAGGAAAACAATCTGCGCGTGGAAGGCGACAATTCTACCACTGAACCACCGCTGCTTGATTTAAACTGCTGTAATCGATCCAGCAAAGTTTTGCTCATCATCCAAGTTTTTCATCAAAGCGTTGAATCAAAATTATGAAAACGTTGTTACAATTTAATTGAGGCTTCGAATTCAGCTAATTATTTGAGTACGCTTCCTCTTTTTTGACAGTGGCACAATAAAAAATTGAAAAAACGTAAAATTGCGCTTTTCTAGAAAAATTTTTCTGCTTTTCTGCTTTGCATCACCCGGGAATCGAACCATGGTCTCTTGCGTGGAAGGAGAAAATGCTACAACTGAACCACCGATGCTTGACTTTAATTGTTTTAATTGTTTGAACAAAAACTTTGCTCTTCATTTCATTTCTTAATCAAATTTTTGAATCAAAATCAAGAATGATTCATTTAATTTGAGTTTTGAACTTCAGCTATTTATTTGAAAGTTTTTCTTGTTTTTTGACAGTGGAACAGTAATAAGTTACAAAAGTTTGAGACTGCTCTTTCCTAGGAAAATTTTTCTGCTTTGCATCGGCCGGGAATCGAAGCAGGGTTTATCGCGTGGCAGGCGACAATTCTACCACTGAACCACCGATGCTGGATTTCCATTATTTTAATCGTTTGAACAAAGTTTTGCTCTTCAATCCAATTTTTTCTTCAGAACTTCGAACAAAATCATGAAAAATTTGTTTCATTCTAATTGAGGTTGAATTCAGCTGAATTTTTTAAATAGTTTCCTTTTTTTTGACAGTGGAACAATAAAAAATTGCAAACATTTAAGTTTGTGCTTTTCCGGCAAAATTTTTCTGCTTTTCTGCTTTGCATCAGACGGAAATCGAAATCGGGTCTATCGCGTGGCAGGCGACAATTCTACCACTGAACCACCGATGCTGGATTTCCATTATTTTAATCGTTTGAACAAAGTTTTGCTCTTCAATCCAATTTTTTCTTCAGAACTTCGAACAAAATCATGAAAAATTTGTTTCATTCTAATTGAGGTTGAATTCAGCTGAATATTTTAGTAGTTTCCTTTTTTTTGACAGTGGAACAATAAAAAATTGCAAACATTTAAGTTTGTGCTTTTCCGGCAAAATTTTTCTGCTTTTCTGCTTTGCATCAGACGGGAATCGAAATCGGGTCTATCGCGTGGCAGGCGACAATTCTACCACTGAACCACCGATGCTGGATTTCCATTATTTTAATCGTTTGAACAAACTTTTGCTCTTCAATCCAATTTTTTCTTCAGAACTTCGAACAAAATCATGAAAAATTTGTTTCATTCTAATTGAGGTTGAATTCAGCTGAATATTTTAGTAGTTTCCTTTTTTTTGACAGTGGAACAATAAAAAATTGCAAACATTTAAGTTTGTGCATTTCCGGCAAAATTTTTCTGCTTTTCTGCTTTGCATCGACCGGGAATCGAACCCGTGTCTATCGCGTGCTAGGCGACAATTCTACCACTGAACCACCGATGCTTGATGTAACCTGTTTTGATCGTTTGAAAAAAGTTTTGCTCTTCAATCCAGCCTTTTCATCAAAACTTCAAACAAAATCATGAAAACTTTGTTTCATTCTAATTGAGGTTTTGAATTCAGCTGAATATTTCGGTTTTTTTCCTCTTTTTGACAGTGGACTGTAAAACTTACAAAAAATTAAACTTGCACTTTTCTAGTAAAACTCTCTGCGCTGCATCGGCCGGGACTCGAACACGGGTATATTGCTTGGCAGGCGACAATCCTGCCACTGAACCACTGATGCTGGAATTAAGTTTCTCACCGTTTGAACCAAAACTTTGCTCTTCAATTTTTTAACAATTTTTTGTATCAAAATCTTGAAAGATTCAATTCATTTGAGTTTTAAAATCCAGCTATTCAATTGAGTAGTTTTCCTCTTTTTTGACAGTGGAACAGTAATAAGTAACAAAAGTTTAAGACTGCTCTTTCCACGGAAATAATTCCTGCTATGCATCGTTCGTGAATCGAACCCGGGTCTATCGCGTGGCAGGCGACAATTTAACCACTGAAACAGCGATGCTTGATTTACACTATTTTAACCGTTTGAAGAAAGTTTTGGTCTTCAATCCAATTTTTTTTTCGAAACTTCGAATAAACTAATAAAAATTTTGTTTCATTTCAATTGAGGTTCCGAATTCAGCTAATTATTTGAGTAGTTTTTCTCTTTTTTGACAGTGGCACAGTAAAAAATTGAAAAAACGTAAAATTGCGCTTTTCTAGAAAAAATTTTTCTGCTTTTCTGCTTTGCATCGCCCGGGAATCGAAACTTGGTCTATTGCGTGGAAGGCAACAATGCTACAGCTGAACCACCGATGCTTGATTGTTATCTGTTTTAATAGTTTGAACAAAAACTTTGCTCTTCATTTCAATTTTTCACCAAATTCTTGAATCAAAATCATGAATGATTCATTTCATTTGAGTTTTGAACTTCAGCTATTTATTCGAGTAGTTTTCTTCTTTTTTGACAGTTGAAAAGTAATAAGTTACAAAAGTTTAGGACTGCTCTTTCCTAGGAAACTTTTTCTGCTATGCATTGGCCGGGAATCGAACCCGTGTCTATCGCGTGCTAGGCGACAATTCTACCACTGAACCACCGATGCTTGATGTAACCTGTTTTGATAGTTTGAAACAAGTTTTGCTCTTCAATCCAGCCTTTTCATCAAAACTTCAAACAAAATCATGAAAACTTTGTTTCATTCTAATTGAGGTTTTGAATTCAGCTGAATATTTCGTTTTTTTTCCTCTTTTTGACAGTGGACTGTAAAACTTACAAAAAATTAAACTTGCACTTTTCTAGTAAAACTCTCTGCGCTGCATCGGCCGGGACTCGAACACGGATATATTGCTTGGCAGGCGACAATCCTGCCACTGAACCACTGATGCTGGAATTAAGTTTCTCACCGTTTGAACAAAAACTTTGCCCTTCAATTTTTTAACAATTTTTTGTATCAAAATCTTGAAAGATTCAATTCATTTGACTTTTAAAATCCAGCTATTCAATTGAGTAGTTTTCCTCTTTTTTGACAGTGGAACAGTAATAAGTAACAAAAGTTTAAGACTGCTGTTTCCACGGAAATAATTCCTGCTAAGCATCGTTCGTGAATCGAACCCGGGTCTATCGCGTGGCAGGCGACAATTTTACCACTGAACCAGCGATACTTGATTTACACTATTTTAATCGTTTGAACAAAGTTTTGGTCTTGAATCCAATTTTTTTTTCGAAACTTCGAACAAATTAATAAAAACTTTGTTTCATTTCAATTGAGGTTCCGAATTCAGCTAATTATTTGAGTAGTTTTTCTCTTTTTTGACAGTGGCACAGTAAAAAATTGAAAAAACGTAAAATTGCGCTTTTCTAGAAAAATTTTTCTGCTTTTCTGCTTTGCATCGCCCGTGAATCGAACCTTGGTCTATTGCGTGGAAGGCAACAATGCTACAGCTGAACCACCGATGCTTGATTGTTATCTGTTTTAATAGTTTGAACAAAAACTTTGCTCTTCATTTCAATTTTTCACCAAATTCTTGAATCAAACTTGAATGATTCATTTCATTTGAGTTTTGAACTTCAGCTATTTATTCGAGTAGTTTTCTTCTTTTTTGACAGTTGAAAAGTAATAAGTTACAAAACTTTAGGACTGCTCTTTGCTAGGAAACTTTTTCTGCTATGCATCGGCCGGGAATCGAACCCGTGTCTATCGCGTGCTAGGCGACAATTCTACCACTGAACCACCGATGCTTGATGTAACCTGTTTTGATCGTTTGAAAAAAGTTTTGCTCTTCAATCCAGCCTGTTCATCAAAACTTCAAACAAAATCATGAAAACTTTGTTTCATTCTAATTGAGGTTTTGAATTCAGCTGAATATTTCGGTTTTTTTCCTCTTTTTGACAGTGGACTGTAAAACTTACAAAAAATTAAACTTGCACTGCATCGGCCGGGACTCGAACACGGGTATATTGCTTGGCAGGCGACAATCCTGCCACTGAACCACTGATGCTGGAATTAAATTTCTCACCGTTTGAACAAAAATTTTGCCCTTCAATTTTTTAACAATTATTTGTATCAAAATCTTGAAATATTCAATTCATTTGAGTTTTAAAATCCAGCTATTCAATTGAGTAGTTTTCCTCTTTTTTGACAGTGGAACAGTAATAAGTAACAAAAGTTTAAGACTGCTCTTTCAACGGAAATAATTCCTGCCATGCATCGTTCGTGAATCGAACCCGGGTCTATCGCGTGGCAGGCGACAATTTTACCACTGAACCAGCGATGCTTGATTTACACTATTTTAATCGTTTGAACAAAGTTTTGGTCTTGAATCCAATTTTTTTTTCGAAACTTCGAACAAATTAATAAAAACTTTGTTTCATTTCAATTGAGGTTCCGAATTCAGCTAATTATTTGAGTAGTTTTTCTCTTTTTTGACAGTGGCACAGTAAAAAATTGAAAAAACGTAAAATTGCGCTTTTCTAGAAAAATTTTTCTGCTTTTCTGGTTTGCATCGCCCGGGAATCGAACCATGGTCTATTGCGTGGAAGGCAACAATGGTACAGCTGAACCACCGATGCTTGATTGTTATCTGTTTTAATAGTTTGAACAAAAACTTTGCTCTTCATTTCAATTTTGCACCAAATTCTTGAATCAAAATCATGAACGATTAATTTCATTTGAGTTTTGAACTTCAGCTATTTATTCGAGTAGTTTTCTTCTTTTTTGACAGTTGAAAAGTAATAAGTTACAAAAGTTAAGGACTGCTCTTTCCTAGGAAAATTTTTCTGCTATGCATCGGCCGGGAATCGAACCCGGGTCTATCGCGTGGCAGGCAACAATTCTACCACTGAACCACCGATGCTTATTTTACACTATTTTAATCGTTTGAACAAAGTTTTGCTCTTCAATTCAATTTTTTGTCGAAACTTCGAACAAAAATCATGAAAAATTTGTTTCGTTCTAATTGAGGTTGAGTTCAGCTGAGTATTTCAGTAGTTTCCTCTTTTTTGACAGTGGACTGTAAAACTTACAAAAAAATAAACTTGCACTTTTCTAGTAAAACTCTCTGCGCTGCATCGGCCGGGACTCGAACACGGGTATATTGCTTGGCAGTCGACAATCCTGCCAATGAACCACTGATGCTGGAATTAAGTTTCTCACCGTTTGAACAAAAACTTTGCCCTTCAATTTTTTAACAATTTTTTGTATCAAAATCTTGAAAGATTCAATTCATTTGAGTTTTAAAATCCAGCTATTCAATTGAGTAGTTTTCCTCTTTTTTGACAGTGGAACAGTAATAAGTAACAAAAGTTTAAGACTGCTCTTTCCACGGAAATAATTCGTGAATCAAACCCGGGTCTATCGCGTGGCAGGCGACAATTTTACCACTGAACCAGCGATGCTTGATTTACACTATTTTAATCGTTTGAACAAAGTTTTGGTCTTCAATCCAATTTTTTTTCGAAACTTCGAACAAATTAATAAAAACTTTTTTTTCATTTCAATTGAGGTTTCGAATTCAGCTAATTATTTGAGTAGTTTTTCTCTTTTTTGACAGTGGCACAGTAAAAAATTGAAAAAACGTAAAATTGCGCTTTTCTAGAAAAATTTTTCTGCTTTTCTGCTTTGCATCGCCCGGGAATCGAACCATGGTCTATTGCGTGGAGGGCAACAATGCTACAGCTGAACCACCGATGCTTGATTGTTATCTGTTTTAATCGTTTGAACAAAAACTTTGCTCTTCATTTCAATTTTTCACCAAATTCTTGAATCAAAATCATGAATGATTCATTTCATTTGAGTTTTGAACTTCAGCTTTTTATCTGAGTAGTTTTCTTCTTTTTTGACAGTTGAAAAGTAATAAGTTACAAAAGTTTAGGACTGCTCTTTCCTAGGAAAATTTTTCTGCTATGCATCGGCCGGGAATCGAACCCGGGTCTATCGCGTGGCAGGCGACAATTCAACCACTGAACCACCGATGCTTGTTTTACACTATTTTAATCGTTTGAACAAAGTTTTGCTCTTCAATTCAATTTTTTTTCGAAACTTCGAACAAAAATCATGAAAAATTTGTTTCGTTCTAATTGAGGTTGAGTTCAGCTGAGTATTTCAGTAGTTTCCTCTTTTTTGACAGTGGACTGTGAAACTTACAAAAAATTAAACTTGCACTTTTCTAGTAAAACTCTCTGCGCTGCATCGGCCGGGACTCGAACACGGGTATATTGCTTGGCAGGCGACAATCCTGCCACTGAACCACTGATGCTGGAATTAAGTTTCTCACCGTTTGAACAAAAACTATGCCCTTCAATTTTTTAACAATTTTTGTATCAAAATCTTGAAAGATTCAATTCATTTGAGTTTTAAAATCCAGCTATTCAATTGAGTAGTTTTCCTCTTTTTTGACAGTGGAACAGTAATAAGTAACAAAAGTTTAAGACTGCTCTTTCCACGGAAATCATTCCTGCTATGCATCGTTCGTGAATCGAACCCGGGTCTATCGCTTGGCAGGCGAAAGTTTTTGCCACTGAACCAGCGATGCTTGATTTACACTATTTTAATCGTTTGAACAAAGTTTTGGTCTTCAATCCAATTTTTTTTTCGAAACTTCGAACAAATTAATAAAAACTTTGTTTCATTTCAATTGAGGTTTCGAATTCAGCTAATTATTTGAGTAGTTTTTCTCTTTTTTGACAGTGGCACAGTAAAAAATTGAAAAAACGTAAAGTTGCGCTTTTCTAGAAAAATTTTTCTGCTTTTCTGCTTTGCATCGCCCGGGAATCGAACCATGGTCTATTGCGTGGAAGGCAACAATGCTACAGCTGAACCACCGATGCTTGATTGTTATCTGTTTTAATCACTTGAACAAAAACTTTGCTCTTCATTTCAATTTTTCACCAAATTCTTGAATCAAAATCATGAATGATTCATTTCATTTGAGTTTTGAACTTCAGCTTTTTATTCGAGTAGTTTTCTTCTTTTTTGACAGTTGAAAAGTAATAAGTTACAAAAGTTTAGGACTGCTCTTTCCTAGGAAAATTTTTCTGCTATGCATCGGCCGGGAATCGAACCCGGGTCTATCGCGTGGCAGGCGACAATTCTACCACTGAACCACCGATGCTTGTTTTACACTATTTTAATCGTTTGAACAAAGTTTTGCTCTTCATTTCAGTTTTTCACCAAATTCTTGAATCAAAATCATGAATGATTCATTTCATTTGAGTTTTGAACTTCAGCTTTTTATTCGAGTAGTTTTCTTCTTTTTTGACAGTTGAAAAGTAATAAGTTACAAAAGTTTAGGACTGCTCTTTCCTAGGAAAATTTTTCTGCTATGCATCGGCCGGGAATCGAACCCGGGTCTATCGTGTGGCAGGCGACAATTCTACCACTGAACCACCGATGCTTGTTTTACACTATTTTAATCGTTTGAACAAAGTTTTGCTCTTCATTTCAGTTTTTCACCAAATTCTTGAATCAAAATTATGAATGATTCATTTCATTTGAGCTTTGAACTTCAGCTTTTTATTCGAGTAGATTTCTTCTTTTTTGACAGTTGAAAAGTAATAAGTTACAAAAGTTTAGGACTGCTCTTTCCTAGGAAAATTTTTCTGCTA